AGCATCCGAGGTAGTACTTGAAAAGGTTTGTTTTGCTCAAATTTGCTCGCTCTGTAATTTTGCAAATTTTAGTATCGCTCAAATTCCCTTCCTTTTCTTACCATAGAAATTCCCTCTCTCTTTTTGACCAAAGAAAATCCCTCCCTCTTTTTGACCCTGGCCCAGTTATCCGTGCGCATGTGGCGACAATGCAGTGTACGATTGCCGGATATTTCAACTTAGCTTTACAGTGCTAAGCGTAATGAATGTGGATATGTGAGTATGCGACCATTCATTCCTCCGGCACCGCGACATTTCGCCGCCGACAACTCGTCGCAGGACTTTTGGTCGCAGACATTTCGCCGTAAGGTCATCTCGCCTCGCGACGTTTCGCCGCGGGACGTTTAGTCGGCTGGACATCACGCCTCGAGACATTTCGTCGCCCGGCCGTTTAGACGCCGATACATTTCGCCGCGAGGCTGTTTCGACGAAAACTCCACTTTAGCAAACAAACTTTCCATCAGGCCATTTGAAACGGTCCAGATACACCTAGAAATAATTCGAGAACACAGACATAAATAACCTAATAAACCTAGGAAACCCAAGAAACCTAAGAAATTCAAGAAATCTGAGAAACCTGAGAAACCTGAGAAACCTAAGAAACCTAAGAAACCTAAGAAACCTAAGAAACCTTAGAAACCTAAGAAACCTAAGAGAGCTTAGAAACCAAAGAAGCCTAAGAAACATAAAAGCCTAAGAAAACTTTCCAAAAACCCGGAAAACTGAGTGTGTCAATTCTTTTGCGGCGAAGTGTCCGCGACCAGATGTCCAAACCGAAGTGTCCCAGCGTCGAAATGTCCAGCGGCGAAATGTCTTCGCGGCGAAAAGTCGTGCGTCGAATTTAATTATGGCGAAATGTCACACTCCCAAATGTCCGGGTGCGATTCCTCCATCGTAGACTCCTTGAGTACGAGGACATTTGGGTGCTGTGAACATACCCTGCACGATTAGGCTGCGATGAACAGCTGGCTAGCCGTAGCTCGGTCTGAATGCAAACGGCTATAAATTTAGCCGGCTGTTCATCGCAGCCTAATCGTGCAGGGTATGTTCACAGCACCCAAATGTCCTCGTACGACAAATCGTGACGCCAATGTCACGACTTTGTATTTACTGCAAAAAGACACAACACACTTAATGATGGTCTCACACTGATGACCATACACCAGCAACATGGTTGCTGTACTACGCCACATTCCGGCGCACCCGGACATTTGGGAGTGTAGCACTTTGTTACAATCAAATTCAACGCACGACTTTTCGTCGCACAGGCATTTTACCGCTAAACAAATTTACGCTGGGACACTTCGGTTTGGGACAATCTGCATTGGGACATTTCAACTTTGCGACATTTCGACGCAAGGCGTCTGGTCGCGGACATTTCGCCGCAAAAGAATTCGGCACGCCTAATTTTCACGGTTACGCTTAGATTTATTTTCAGGTCATTCTTAAGTTTCTTAGGTTATTTTTAGGCTGCGCTTAGGTTGTTATTAGGTATCTTAGGTCATACGCTTCGTATTTTCTTGGTTTCCCAAATTTCCTCAGGTTTTTTTCTACGTTAGTTTCTTTGGGGTTCCAGAACCATTTTTATTCTTGTCCCTAATGGTTCCAGTAAGTCTCGTTTTCTCAAGAAGTTTCGTTTTTTTAGTTTCATTTTTTCCAGCCTGATAAAAATTTATTTGCTGAAAACGACTTCTCATCGAAACAGCCTCGCGGCGAAATGCCTCGGCGTCGAACGGCTTGGCGACGAAATGTCTCGCGGCGTGATGTCCTGCTGACCAATTGTCCCGCAACGAAATGTCGCGCGGCGAGATGCCCTTGCGGCGAATTCTCTGCGACCAAAAAGCTAATGACTAGTATGACCTCGGCAAAATGCCGCGGTGCCCCGAAGCGCCAAGCATGCGCTAACCGCCCATCAAACATGTATCTGAAAATTGAAAAAGGCAACGCTTGGGGGGCACGTATCTTAAGCCCTTGGCAAATCAAGACCATTTTTTACTGGTGCGTCAGCGAACCCTTTATGACATCTTAACATAGTATAACTTAGCGAGTTTTTGCGGTCTTATTCATTTCAATAATTTCAACATTTATCTGCGGTTATCTGAGCTCGTAGCTAACTCCTGCGGCGAAAAACAGATGTCATTCTCCACATTCAGCAAAGCCAAGCCCATCAATCTCTCTTGCCACACAGTATTTCGTTTTCAGTCGCTTCAGTGTGGAGAACGACCTCTCAAATTTGGCTACCGCGAGCATAATCACTTAGAGTAATACTAGTAGACCCGCGCAAACTGCGCGGATAAACCACCGGCGGAATACAAATTGCAAAAAGTATTAACCTGTTGGCTGCACATGCATATTATTTCTAATGATCCAAGCGTAGAAAAACTTATAGTTTCACTGGCAAATATTTTAACGGTACTTAATTACTCCACGCTGCGCTTAATAGCATTATACTATTGCGCTGACAAATGTAGCCAGTCCAAGTACTGCATATGTACTGTTACGGTGTTACCTATCCAGTATTTCGTTTGCTTGTCGGCGAACTCCGCTCGCGCTGCAGGTGTAGCGATTCGCCATCTACTGGTAGATTCTGCAGAAACCTAAAACTATTTTAAGTTTTGTAAAATCTCTCGCTTTAATAAAAGACATGAGGATGGTTGCCAATTTCGTTATTCCAAGCGCTGTAAGTTTCACGGTTACATCCCCAACTGCATTGCAAGTACGTCACATGCAAACTTATAAATTTGGCCAAACTCTAAACACTCTAAGTCCCTTTGCTCGACCAATATTTTCTGTTAAACACCTAAAAGTTACAAAATTTCCGAAACCTTTTTTTTATAATTTTTTTGAACCTTAAACTTTTTGATGAAGAACTTTAAACTTTAAATTGCCGACAGCCGGGAAATATAGGGATCGTCAAATTTATTTCTGCGTGACTTTTTGCGGGTTTTGGCAGAAATGGGATTCTGGCTGTGTCATTCTGTAGTAAAGCAGTGGTGACTTCTTGACTTTTCCTGTAGACTCCGTACGTTAGGTTTCTTTCTAAAATCTCCTATGCACTATAACAGACTCTGGCGAGGAGATCACGAGTGTGCTTTATTGACAAATAAAGGGAACAATGCTGCGTAATAGCAGGAAAAGCAAGAACATAGCACGGATCACGGATGGCTAAAGTAGCAAGTGGTTGCTAACTTGCTAACAGGGTTCTTGAGCGTCTGATGGCGTGAAAGAAATCAGGCGGCAGACACGTGCGAGCTGCAGGCCAGTCGTATCAGCTGTGTGATGATGCGCAGACTGGACTCGATCCAACGCGAGCGTATGAACGTATGAACGCTAAACCATGCCCTGTAGCGCCACGTGGATGGATTTCTCGCACTCATACGCTTCGGCTACCATCTAGCGTCGGACAGGTAACGCTACAGGGCATGAAGATCGAAGGGACCGAAAGGTCAAAGGATGCAAGTGAGATCAAGTGGGTAACTTGTTACGCCACGAGATTATCCGAAGATGATAATGCACGTCGACGAGATAGAGGAATGACCCTGACAATAGGCGAAAGGTCACCCAGAGGTCAGTTTGAACAGCCTCACTTGGAAAGAGAAGACCAGAGCAAAAGCCTGAAGTTAACCAGATCGAGTACAAGCCTCTACTTTTGTTGGGATTACAACTCTTGAAATTTGTGTGGGCGACTGGCGCCTTATATAGCCCTGAGCACTCGCAGGTGTTGGCTCTTCGTACGCGCAATTACGGATCTGAGAACAATAGAGATCTAAACGTTAACCAATGAGAGACGACTGCATACACGTGGACTAATCTAATGAGAGCATCTAGAAAGCATTTACACACGTGGCCCAATAAGAACATGAGGTCAGTTAATACACTAGAACAATAGGTTGAACTACGTCATCGAAGCGCGGTCATGTCGAAATGGCGAGTCGCGGTCAAAGTTCTCTGTTGGAGATTTCTAAGAAGTCGAAATAGAGACTCGGGGTCAGGACTCGCGTAGAAGCTGTAGTAAGGAGTAAGCCTAAGCCTCGGGGTAGAAGTAGTAAAAGTAGTAAAAGTAGTACCGATGTGTAGTCTAAGGGACGCCAGTACACGTCAAGGTGTTCACATCACCTAAATTTTTTGATAATAAAAATACAAAAATTTCAAATTATAAAGAAAAATTTCCGGAATAATAGCCTGTTAAATTTGTTCGTTGATGGAGGTTGGCTAATGTAGTTGCAACAATATTAATAATGGTGATCATAATAACGATCATACTCGTAGTCCTAATCTATCATAATCATTATTATTATGATAATATTATCATTATCGATATCACTGCAAGTAGTGCCGCATTTCAATATGTCAGAAATGAGATTCGTATCTGATGATTCGAGGTCAATTTTGTGCAATGCTATCACCTCGAAAACCATTGCATCCACAGCTTTACTTGGACTTTATTACTAATTTTATTGCCTGAAATCGCGTATTCGAAGCCCTAATTTTACAGGTTACATGTCGGGTGGGGCAGGATATGTACTAAGCCGAGAAGCGGTACGAAGGCTGATAGAGCGTGGCTTAAACAAACAACGATGCCGAAACGACAGCGGAGGCGACGAAGATTTGGAGATGGGACGCTGCCTGGAAAGAGTCAACGTAAAGCCAAAGAACAGCCGAGACGAGCATGATAGGGGAAGGTTTTTCCCTTTTAATATCACTTACCACATGTCTCCGGGTCATATGAGTCGTACAACGGATTGGTACCCACAACACACTCACAACAACGACGGTGATCTCCTGAACTGTTGTTCCGATACTGCCATCGCGTTTCATTATGTTAAGCCAATTGAAATGTACCAGTTCGAGTTTTTGTTATATGGTCTTAGGATGCATGTTAATCGCTTTTCTAATGTAATGCAAATCTAGAGCCAGTGGCGTTAATAGCTTTATACCAACGCTTGTTTTATAGCAAAAATCTGAATCTACGTAAGATGTCTTTACCATAGAGTCAAGGCTATTTCACGAACCTACGGTGTGCAGTGTAGTACACTGCACACACTTCTTCAGTACCACAGTCCGTGTGCCCCAACACAGGCACCCGTTTACTGTCACCAGTTCGCTTTCCACCCGCTTATACGGTCGCAGCTCTTCTCTTACCACGCTCGGCCATCTGGTTTGGACGTACTCTAGAACGATGCTGAGCTCGGCATCCGCGCGGATTTCCTCCGCCACAATTTCTACCGACACTGGTAACCGTCCCACATTCTCCGTATGCACAGCATTGACTACGCTGTCCATTCCCCGGTTACCCAACTCGGTCAGCTTCGTGGAATGCAGTGGTTACCTGCTTAACCCGTCAGCCTGGCCGAACTCTTCTGTTCGCCGGTTCAAAATAGTCGGACTGTGCGCCATCAGCATTAACGCCCAGCGCTGAAGGCGGTTCGCGGGCACCACCGCTAACCTTTTCCGGTCCACGAACACGCTCATGTCGCTCAGCAGTGGCGTGTGGTCCGCCAGCAAGGTGAATTCCTCCCAGCAGTATATTAGTGAAATTGCTTGCACCCGAAGACCAGGGCGAGGGATCCCTTCAAAATCTGCCCGTACCCAATTTCGGCGGCGTTGAGACTCCAGGATGCGTGTGCAATCGGTCTCTCCGTACCGTCCGGGAACCGATGACACAGCACCGTTCCAATGCCGTACTGCGATGCGTCGGCTGCTACAATCAGCGGCATCGCCGGCTCGTAATGCACCAAAAACGTGGCTTAGGCAATCTCCTACTTAACTCCACGATCTGCTGTTCGCATTATTTTGACCATCAGTTAAGTCAGCTTTCTGGAGTTGTGAAACACGTGCCACTTTACGGACAGATTCTTCACGAATTTGGCATAGTAGCTCACCTTGCCGAAAAACGCGTGCAGCTCACTTAAGTTTTTCGGCGGGCTCATATGCAGCAACGCCTTCACACGGATTCTCGAAATGTGGCGCCCACGACTGTCCACGATGAAAACCAAATACTCCACGAACAGTTGCATGAAATGATACTTGCTGCGCTTCGGCGACAGTTCGTGTTCTGACAACCGCTCCATGACCTTTTCGAGGTTGCGCAAGTGCTCTTCATCCGTGGCGCCGGTGACTATAATATGGTCAAGATAAACGGCCACGCCTTCGCAGCCATGGGAGAATCTGTTTCATAATTTGCTGAAATATGATGGCCCAACTGGCGACTCCGAACGGCACTCGGTTACACCGAAACAGTCCCTTGTGTGTATTGATCACCACAAGCTGTTTGCTGTCGTTGTCCATTTCCACTTGGGCATACGCCTCGGCGAAACAACGTACTGAATTTCTCTCCGCAGTTTAACTTGGCGAATAATTCGTCAGGCGTTGGGAGCGGATATCCTTTTGAACGTCCATCGAGTCGTTCAGACCGGTGCTTAAATCAGCACACGTTCGCACATCACCAACTCTCTTCAGCGTCCCCACAATGAGCGCCGCCCAGTCGGTTTGTTCGACTGGAGTGAGAATGCCGCGCACCACCAAACGCTCCAGGTCCTTCTCGATCGCCTCTCCAAACGCGAATGGCACTGTACGGGGTTTGCAGGACACTGGTCGCGCTCCCAGTTTCAAGTGGAGACGCGCCTTATTCCGCTTGCAGTGAGTCAATTTTTCGCGGAACACTTCCTTGTCCCGGTCGATGACTTCCTCCACACTGCTGGTAACGCTGTATAATTCACTGGCCTGCAGCTCACGGAGGCTCATTTGGCTCAGATCCAAGGCGCTTATCTAGTCGCGGCCGATGGCATCGCCACCGCGGCCCACTACCACCACCGGTAACTGCTTCCGGACGCTGACGCGTTGCACATCCACTGTGGCGGTTCTGATCACTGACAACGCATGACCAGGGAAGCTCCTTAGCGGCTGCGTTGACGGCGATAGGCGCGGCGAACCAATCGCCCTCCACGTTCCCGCCGTGAGGATGGCATCGCCGGATCCCGAATCCAGTGCTGACACTGGCGTGCCGTTCAACTCCTGTGGTATGCGTATGCACTGGCTGCCAGCCACATCCAGTGCCAGCACGTCGAATTTTTCTTTAACCATAGTGCGCCGCCCGTCTCCGTTTCGCGAGCTCGCTATCGAATACTTACACAGCATATCGAGCTACTATATGCATATAAACATGTATCAGTTGCTATTGTACGTAATTCTCTATAATAAAACTTGTTGCGTTATGGCGCATCTGTAGCAACTGCCTAAGCGTTTATTCCTGCAGCGACATTCTGCACAAATAGGCAGATCAGTTAGGCGCAAAGCTATTTCGAAACAAACATGAAAATCTGCGAACATTCGCATTTTTGGATTCTGTGATAATATAAACTGGGACACGAAAGGTTTTGTCAGACCGACTCAGAAGCAACGAGGAAAAGGGAGCAATCCTTTATTGAGTATCAATAAAGGAACCACAAAAATCACCGAAAACCAATGCGGAAAACCGAAGGGAGAAGTAGCTGCCAGCTAGTTCAGTGAAAATCAACGTCATGAGCGGCAGGCTGCACCTGCGTATCAGCTGAGGCCGCACAGCATGGAATCGCTCGTAAGCGCTGGGCTACGCCCCACGAGTGCAAAGCAACGCTAACTCGTCAGCGTAAACAAAGTATACGCTGAGTAATCAGCGTAATAGCGCGGCAAGAGTAGCGTGGCCACCTGCGTGCGGGCGACAGAGCAAGCCACAACAGGTGTCTACCGCCTGGAGTGAGTGGTCTCTGACATGCCTCTGGGCGGGAGTGGGAGCTCCTGCGAGCACCTTCTCGACTCTGTCCCTGGCCAACTGGAGGGTGCCAGGATCCGATACCCGGTAGGTCCGGATGCCACTTTGTCTCTCTTGCCCGGTAGGGCCGCTGTCTCAGACCCGCGGTGCAGTGCACCGAACGGCCGAAATCTGGAGTGCACCCGGTGTGTTGAGGGTTCCAGTGAGGTTTGTTGAGGCTTCTTTGGTCGATGAGTAAAAAAACACAGATTTATAAGGCTCATGGTCAAATATCGTAATAAAAAGATTACAATTCAACTTTGCCTTTACAAGACCGTGGCCATAAAAATTAAACGCTGGTCGAGACCAAAGTGGTGGCTCGTGTCCAAACGGTGGCTCTGATGAAAACATCAGGTTGGCCTGGCCAAACTCCCAAAATTAAGTTGGGGGCGCCGGTTGGCGTTTGTAGCCGGCAAACATGTTGGTCTGTTGACTAAGTGCGGGAATTATCCTCCCTTGCCGGTAGGCGACTTCTAGTTCCCTGTGGCACCGTAAGTCTGGCTGCGAAGATTCGGATGACCTACCGTTGTACGTGTACGCATAAGTCCCGGTTGGGGCCTCCTGATAGTTTTCAGGTCTTCGCGAAGTTCCCATTGCGGTCCTTGCGGCCGTAACCAGAAAACTGGCGTTCGCGTCCGGTAGGACAAACTGAGCCAGGTAATTGATGTGATCAAGCTGGTCATCCTGAATGTGAAATTCGCACAGGTCGTTCCAATCGGGTCTGATGATGGGCTGCCCGAGTAAGTTCAGTCTGTGGCGCTCAGTAGAGCGTTACCGCGGACCGTCGGGTAGCCCTCACGGTTGTCCAGGTGGTCGTCCATACTGAAAGTGTGGAGCCAGTCCTTCCGCTGGAATTCGCTTTCCAGAACGGCAGGGTGTAAAACCTGGCAGTGGCACCTGCCAATGGCACTGCCAGTGGCATGGCAATCAATAAAACCTGGAGACTCTGGCAGCTGGCAAATGATAAAATCTGGCAGATGCCGCATAAAATGTGGCACGGTCGCACAATTAAAAAGCGGGTTTGCTGCATAATCCCTGAAAATCTTGCCAGTGTACCGTCAGTTTTACATATAAAGTGTTAACACCCTTATTAGCCATGCACGAAGTTCGAAAATATGCGCCGGCATAAAGAATTTCAAAAGGTTACATCGCATTTTGCCGTTTGCGCAAAGTATCGCAGTTAAGCAGAATCGCAACGCGAGTTGCAAAAAATACAATCGCGGCACTTCCAGATCTATAGGACTGTCAAATATCAGCAGCCCGCTTGTATCTGCGGCACGACTGCTGCGCACGTTTCCGTTACTCGTTTTTCTGCTATGACTAAGAGAAAAAAATTGAAACATGTTCCCACCATTCCCAAAAAAAAAATAACGGATACACTCGTAGAAATAAACACCAAATCTGACAGCACCGTGAATTCTGCAATAAAACTACCTTCAGTGCCATTCACTATCATGGACAACTCAACACAACAAGCGCAAACTTATTAAGAAAAATAATTTCACATAGCTTAATGACAAGTAATTAATTTTCTTCATGTGTAATAAATTTGTTAATTACGTGCTAAAAAATTCGCTGGATTACTAATTATTAGCTAAATTAATTAATTAAACTTTATTATCTTAAAACTTAATGACGAACTACAGTAAGCAAAGCGTAATTACATACAGTTTAATGCAGCCTGGCTCACTACGAACGCTTATTAGCAGCGCAGGATAATTTTAAAGAGTTGACAAGCGGTCATGAATGTGAGCGCGAATTCTAAAACCGAGCTCAACAGCTCGGTTTTCTAATTCAGCAACTGATTCTCCATCTGACCAATGCGCGAGGCGTTATCAGTGAATCTCTCTGACTCACAAATCAGTGCGTGAGTTGTTGCGCACTCGAGAGTTTTGACCTAGATACAATTCGCATCAGAGTCCCAATACGTAACATATTTGACAGCAACTCTAGAAAGCAAACCGCTGGAAAATGATTTGCGGTTGAGCGTGAAGCCGCCTGAATCGGATCTGCCAACTGATGTATGAACAAATTTACAATTTTATTTGCACACACATTTCAGCCATTTGGTAGTTTAGCACTTTAACTTGCATTGGCTACCGTTATTTAACGCCTGTGATAAAATATGAAGTATTATACACTTCTATCAAACATAAAACAAATCGTATATGATTTTGTTGGAAAAACTTGGAATATGAACTTTCAGACCCGTCTTACTGGCTTATTGATTTGATTTATTAAATAATTTAATAATTTGATCAATTATTTTTTCCACAGCAGTATTTTAGAACATTGCTGCGCTACAGCATGCAAAATTGTTCGCATATAAACACATATAAACACAGTAATCTAAATTTAGATGTGCTATGTGTATCATGCCCGCTCTCCAGTGGACCCGTTTAGGAATGAATGAACAATGTATGCTGTATAACGTTGCACCACCGTAGCTTTGAAAAGGCAATAACGATTTTATCCAAAATTGCATTGGTAATACGATGTTAGTAAGTATGCATAGTGCATACATACGGTAACCTGTTCCGGCTAATTTAATTTTAGATCAACTGCTTTCTGTGATGCTCTCCTCTCTATAGACCTCTCGTTTCTGCTGTTTGTTAATTCACTATAGAAATTATTAGTTTTCAGCGCTGTTTTACTTATTAAATAATAAATACATAATGTCTGATTAATTTGTGTAAAGCATAACAATACCTGTACATTTCGTCAAAGCGCTGATAAAAATTAACTGAAATCATAATATGCTCCATAGGTGAACTATACTAGCGGCAAGGCTAGCGGGGTACTACTGTAACTGTGAACAACAAATTTTGTGGGGCTACAGCATGCGGGAATGCGGCCTCCGTCATGGGAACAGCACCAGCATCGGCTAATTTAGATGAGATGTTCAGTATAATCAGACCGTCTATCTCTGTTGTCGGTTGAGGCTGTAGATTACATCTTTATTATGAAAGATTACAATGTATTATGTGTTGAAGTGATGTAGTTGAATTACCATTTGATTCTTAACATACATACAATGCGGAAAAAAAAAAAAAAACAAATTTTGTGTTACGAGCTACGTATCTGTACTGCATCCTTACCAATCGAAGCCAATAATAAAAATTAATATGACCTCGTGCTCATACCATTAGTAACGAAAGATTAATTTATGGATAATGTTAAGCGCTGTAATGCTAATTAACATACCGAGTATTGCTCCACGACATGCCTTATTATTGACGACAAACAGTTTTGGACCAGAAGGCCGGCTGAGAAGGGTAACTAGTGTTGTCATTATTTGTAAATTTACTATACCATCACGAAATCATTTCTGCAAAGAAAAGGAAGTAATGAGTGAAGCCGCGATTTTGTACCACGATGATGGCACGATCTACAGTACAACAGCGATTTGACTACAGACTACTGGTCACTATGGTGCCGGCTCGGCTCATGTTCGGCATGCGTGCATGTAAACTTCATTGTGATTCCAAAAAAATCGGCGCTTTGTACACTGTTTACGCGCACTTTGCTTCCAGAGGATAGTTCTACAAACAGCTAGCCTTATCTAGTTGTTTTGTCTGCTGATTATTTCGCCCGTTGTACGTAAATGGCAATACAAACAGATGAACCCAACCGGCTCATATGATTGTTAAGACGAGAGGTACCCAACATATGGTTAAATTGGTACACCCCCCGTGCTGCATATTGTTGGAAAGAGCGTTTCGTGATCTAAAACCCGACACCAGCAATGTTTATTAAAATTTTAAACTGAAAGAGTTATTTTGACGTTAAACAGCATGCGCAGTACAACAGAAAGTTGCCGAAAGCGCTCCGTTAGAGCAGTGGCAAATCGAACCTATCGGTCAGTTTAGTGGGCAATGGGCAGCGATCGGGCCTGCCGCCTGCCAGCGCTCCTGAACTCGTGCGTCTTCCTGGTTATCTCTCTCTCCCCGCTCACAAAGAATAAGTAGGCCATCAAACTGGCAACGATAGGTGTAGTGATGCAACTGACAACAAATGCCCTACACGGCAAGAGTTGAACCAAGGTTGAACCTTGGAAATATTCTAAGTTTATTGGCATTTCAAAACAGGAGTAGAAGTTTTCAAAAGAAAGCAATTAAAGGTATGCTCATATAGTCATATTCAAGTAGCTTATTCACATTTTATAACAAAATACGCGCTTTGTGCCGTAGATAAAAACCTAGATAAAAACCTAGTTCATTCGAAACTTAGATATTACTCCTAATGGCAAGCTAATAAAAATTATTACATCCGTGCAGTCTTTCCTGTAAAAGTCAGTAGGTGGCGAATTATTTGACACGTTTTGGTAGTACTTATTACGTTGTTACGTTTTGCTTTGTATTATTGGTTAAAAGGTATTAAGGCACGAAAAAGAAATGACAAAAGGTTTGCACTTAGCAGTTTGCTTCGGGCCTATTCGCTATCGTAGTTCGGAAAAGACTGGAAGGACATGAAAAGCTTCGAGCAGGATGCACAGTATTTGCTTTTCCCCACCGGGCCCGGTTTGTATGCAATCAGCCGTGTGGTCAAGCAGTCTTCGTGGGCTGACCGGCTGACCGAATGGTTGCCGGCAGGCCGGCAGACAGAATGCTCTCTGCGTGGCTTCAGTGGTCACTTGCCTGTTGTACTGAACTTTGACGCGATAGTGGTTTGCAGTTTATCAAGTCCAAGAAGATATTCCTGTTACAGTGCACATTGTCGGCATCAAAGTGAACAGGAAGACAACTACTCACGCTATCCGTTGCACTAATTTTCATCTTGATGTGACGTCGCGTTCGCCCGGAATTTCGGTTTAAAATTTTGATTTTGATATTTCAATGGCGTTTTTTTCGAATTTTTCATAACCCTACCAGCAACGGATAGTCGACATCAAGATCTATCATAAGACGACATATTGTCCTAACCGGGTGTATAGTGAATATTTTCACCGGGGTCGAAGCTAAAAATTAATTACCCCATTATTTTGTTAATGACCCTACAAAACTTCCCAAAAAAATTAGTAGATGATAGCACAACATCTTGGTGGCGTACGGCAATAGTTAAATTGACCGTACATTTACCACCGCGTGTACACAAAAAATTAGCGCAAGGGGACCATATGCTGGGTACCCCTCGTCTTAACGTGCGACAGTGCGCACGTAAAATCAGTTGCGTTGAAACGTTTACATCTGTCTCTGGCTAGTTTGGCATGAGAAGCTATGTTTAGAGTGCCTAACAATTAACAATGCCGACTTCTGCCGTAAAGCCTTCAATTTTATAAAAATTTAATGTGGGCTCCATCAAGGTGGACAGGATCATACTGGGACACACTACGTTTTACAATGCGAGCAAGAAAGGAAGCTACGGGTTTAGGGTATGCGTTGTAGCGAAGACAGCGAAAACCGGTTTGTACAGCTAGTAAGCGCACAGACAGCCAGACTCATACGTGTGTAAGTGAATGCGAGCGGATTTACCCACTCACACACACATGTGCCGATCGATCGATACAGCAAGGCAGCACTCCGCTTGCGCTTTTTGGCAGCACCGGAATGCGCTGTCTTCGGTCTATTTATAGTCACAACAGAGAGGCTGCATTGATCAACCAGCCTCAGCGGGCAAAAAAGGCTGTTCGCTGGCTTTTTAACATAGACCGTAGCCTCCTCATTTAGTCAGATTGTAGTCTATATCTACGTTCTCAGTATTCGATTATACAGTAATGTCAATTTACGTAAGCAACAGTAACAAATGTAAGTACTCATAATAGCTTACTTTGTGATTGCACCTTTTTTTCCTAAGTTATTATTGATGTTTTCATGGATATCTCGTGCCGGAAATATCTTAAATGTATCACAGCCCACAGGAAGTAGCGCTTAAATTCAAGCTGAAATTATATCTGAAATTTCTGCGTTTTACGCAACGAAGTTTTGAGCAGAAACTAGAATCCAAAGGTCGTTTCGTTCACTTCCGTAATATAAACAGCAGCTTATAATTATTGCCGGCTTTTGCTATGGCCTTCTACGTACAATTGTTAAAGAAAGTGTGCCGGTACATGGTATCAAATTCGTATGTATAGCGCATGCACGATAACTTTCGCTCCCGCGCACTTCCATACACTTTTTGGCGTTGTTTTTTGGCATTTTTGTAGTCAGATGAGTTGTATTCACTGGCGTGAAGGCTGTCCGTGCGCGCAACATCCGCTTCGGCAGTTATGGGCTTGATAAAGTTAAAAACGTTTAAACATACGGAGGTGTATCCAAAAACCTCATTATGAATCGATTAGAAAATCCTGCATGAAAAAACTCGTTGCCCCGAAGATCGTTTTTACACCGAGTCTCGTTTCCATGAATGTTTTTAAAAATTCAAATACTAAAAAAATGAATCTCAGATAAAAATATATCAAATTTGAAACAAATGATAAAAACCGTACTATTATTATTATTCATCGTGGAGCAGGTAGCCCATTTCCGGCTAGGGTGACATACCAGATGGGATTTTGAACCTGGCCAAACAGTAAAATCTAAAAGTACGAGTACAGATAGACAGAAAAGGACTCAAACAAAATTGACACGGTTCAAAGCTTGCTTAAAAGCACCAATAGTGCGAATATCGAACAGATCAGAGGAATTAGAATTAACAAAAAATGTCCACAATTTATTAACCTTCCAAGCAAAGGTCGTCTCGCCAACTTCCTTCTTCGCTTCCGCCTTTATATGGATGCGGTTTCTATTCCGAAGGTTGTACGGCTTGATACGGTCGTCAAATTCCACCATCTCGCTGATGTACTGCGACACATGGAATTTTTCCGGATGTTTGATCTTGTATAACCATATCGCTTCCTTTTGTTTCCATCTCGTGAAGAGCGGCAAGATCCCATGTTGTTTCATGAACGATTCCGTGGGTATCTTTGCGTAGTTTGCAGCCGCTCGGAGACCGTTTCGATGCATCGCGGCCAATTTATCCCGCAAGCGCACAGATGCCCCGCTCCACACTGTATAGCAGTAGTTCAGATGCGACTGAACAAAGACACAGAAAAGCGCAATGCGCTGGGACATTGGTAGGCCGACTTTCACACGGTTTAAAAGTGATGTACCGTACCGAAAACTCTATTGGACTTTTATGGACATGGTCAGTCCAACTGAGATGTCATCCAGTATCACTCCGAGATGTTTCACTGACTTTTCCGGTAGCAGCTGATGTCCGTTGATGTACTCGGTGATCTTCCGGGAAATTGGTATTTCCAGGCAAAATTTTTAAGACGGTTGATCTGCTTTGCTTTGCGTTGCTTATTGTTTATTGTTTATTGTACGGTAGGCAGGTAACACATTAAAGGCTAGGATCGACATCTAGCATGGGAATTTAAACCTGGCTCAACAACAGGCATCGTAATGAAATTGTAGCAAAGGTCACTAATAGTCAATCTAGTAATGGTTACATGCTTCAGTGCATTACGAAAAAAGCAAGCGAACTGCTACTGAAAATATCGTTTCCGGCCAGGTTTAGCTGGCTCATAACGTTGTTCAGCCTCCACGCCAACAACGTTATAAGCCAGCTAAACCAGACCAGAATATAAACCCTTTATGTGCGTTGAACATAAAGGGTTTTCAGGCCACTATATACGAATTTTGACTACAGAATGACTAAAAACTAGGAAAAAAAGGTTAAGGGTGCCGGGGTGCGCGAAAGCGAAAGTGTTCGTTTATATACACCAATGTTGCACCATGTACCGGCATTCCTTAAATTTCAGTGACACCGGTTTTGTTGCCTTTTTGCCGGAGGTATAAGGAACGCAACGAAAGTCGAGTAAAAGCAAGCCCCAGGTAGCGTGCAAGTTGCAGCGCCTATCATGCTGGTAGCGTGTTACTGAACTGATCCGTTTGAGTTCAGTCAACAGTCAACACGGCAGCCTACTTTCACTGTTGTTAACTGATTACAGCACCGCGTTCAACCGCAAACCGTATTTCAGCGGCGCATGTCGTATATGTAATACGCTTTAATATGATAATAATAAGTAATAGCACAAAGTCTCAGATTCTCGTACCCAGCTGGTAGTCGTACTAAATCATCAGTATTATCGCACACCACAACTCATGACCTTTTGCACTTAGCAACATCATACACTACATCTCCTTTCCCCGATAAAAAAAAAATTATTTTGTATATCCGAATCGTGTTGGCTCGACTCCCTTATTCGCTCTCGCTGACACACGCAATGGAGGAGCAGGATTCGCTGTGGCAGGCACTGCCACTTGGGGAAGCTCTGCGTTCAGAGCTGGCTCCGGCTGTGGTCGGATGACAGGTTCCGCTATTGCAGGTTGCTGGTCACGCTGTGGGATTTCCGATATCATCGCCTTTGGCACTGTTGGCGATGTAACGTCGTTGGGCTCAGCTGCAGCACGCCATTCACGCGGCCTGATCTGGTCTTCGTGGCGAAACCACTCTTGGCCGTCGACGGTAACTGTCCATTGACGGTTTCCTTTCTTAGACCGCAGCTGGCCGGGCGTCCAATGGGTTTTAGGACCGTGGCGGAAATCACGTACCAACACCAGCTGTCCGCCAAGGAAGTTTTTCTCTTTGGCATGCCGATCGAAATTTCGTTTATGACGGTCCATGTTGGATTGCCGTGTATCGTTCGCGTCCGGATGTACCAAATCCAGCGCTGTGCGCATTCGGCGCTTGAGGAATAGCTCATCGGGCGAACTTCCAGTGGTGGCTTGCGGTGTCGTACGATACCTGAACAGGTATTTCCGCAGTGCGTCGTCGATGTTAGCATTGTTGCCTGTCAACATCTTGGTCATGGCGTCCTTGAATGCGCCAACATAACGTTCCGCCTGCCCGTTTGATTGCGGGTGTCCAGGCGCCGTGCGCAGGTGCGTGATTCCGTTGGCCTTGCAGTTGTCTGCAAATTCAGCGCTGGTGAACTGCGGCCCGTTATCCGTTACCAGCTGTTTCGGGTATCCATAACGGCCACATAAATGCTCCAGCACGGCAATCACGTCGCCGGACTGCGTACGCCGCATTTTGACGACTTCGGGCCACTTCGAGAAGCTGTCCACAATCACGAGAAACATCTCGTTGTGGAACGGGCCCGCGAAGTCCATGTGCACACGCTGCCACGGATTCTCGGCAACCGGCCACTGCTGCAAGGGCACTTTCGCCATCTCCTTTGCTGCCATCGTGCAAGCAGGGCATTTCTTGGCCAGCCGTTCGATGTCGCCGTCCAGTCCAGGCCACCAGAAGTGACTTCTGGCTTCCGCCTTCATCCGCACCACGCCAGCATCTGTAGCATGCAGATGTTTCAGCAGGGCCGCTTGGAGCGACTCTGGAATGACCGTTCTCGCTCCCCACAGGACACATCCAGCGACCACTGACAGTTGCAGTCGTCTCTGGTGGTACGGCTGGAGTTCCGGTGGTGCCTTCTCTGGCCATCCCTTAAGGACCAAGTGACGACACCGAGCCAGCACGCGATCTTTGCCAGTTTCACTAGCGATTTTCTTCGCGTCCACCGGTGTTTCACTCAACACTTCCATTTGGACAGCATGGATGGCTTCGTGCATTCCCCAGTCGTTGGCGTCGAAGATGTCCTTCGAGTGCAGAGGCAGCCGGCTCAGTCCAAAGTCATCGGTAGACCGGTACTCAATGGTAAAAGTATACGCCATGAGTGCAATGGCCCACCGCTGGAGGCGGTTGGCAGATACCGCAGGGATTCCAGTCTTCCGGCCGAACACCGTGACCAACGGCTTGTGGTCAGTAAGGAGTGTGAACTCCCGACCCGCCAGGTACTGGTCGAACTTCTTCACACCGAAGACAAAGGTCAGCGCCTCTTTCTCTATCTGCGCGTACCGTTGTTCAGTCTGCGTAAACGTCTTCGATGCATGGGCAATGGGCTGGTCTTCCCCGCTCGGTCCGCGGTGGCTAATGACAGCTCCGATCCCGTACTGCGACGCATCCGCTGCGAGGATTAGCGGCTTCGCAGGATCGTAATGCACCAGCATTGTAGTAGCCTGTGCCAGCTCCGCCTTCAGGCTGCGGAAGGCACCATCACATTCTCCTGACCATTCCCACTTGACGTCCACTTTCAGCAGGGCGTTGAGGCAGTACGTCTTGGTCGCCAGCTGGTGAATGAACTTGCCGTAATGATTGATCATTCCCAAGAAAGATCGCACCTGGGCGACGTCCACCGATGCTGGCATCTCCATGATTGCGCGAATCTTTGTTTCGGAAACATGTCGGCCGTTTCTGTCAACCACGAATCCCAAGTATTCTACCGACAGCTGGAGGAAGTTGCACTTCTGCTGTTTCAGGGTGAATCCTTGTCGGTTCATTCGTTCGGCTACTTCGGCCAGATTCGCAAGGTGCTCCTGTCGTGTTCTGCCTGTGATTATAATGTCGTCCATGTACACAGCCACATACGGGATGCCATTCAGCAGTTCTTCCATCATCTGTTGGAAGATGCTTGGCGCAGCAGCCACTCCGAACGGCAGTCGGTTGTAGCGATACAGTCCGCGATGCGTGTTTATCGCAACCAACTCGCGGCTCGGCTCATCAAGTGGCACCTGGTGATATGCATCGGACATGTCAATCGTGGTGAATTCCTCACCGCCATTGAGTATGGCGAGGAGGACATTCCAGGATGTCCATTCAATCTGATCCGGGTTAAAACGGATCAAGTTCTGGGCTTTTTCTTTTGCGGCAGTCATTGGGGAAGACACTGGGGAAGTATCAGAAGTCGACGTAGATGTATCGACCGATCCGGGCATACACTCGCTTTGAGTAATACCGCCTTCACGCCAATGTCGTATATGTAATACGCTTTAATATGATAATAATAAGTAATAGCACAAAGTCTCAGATTCTCGTACCCAGCTGGTAGTCGTACTAAATCATCAGTATTATCGCACACCACAACTCATGACCTTTTGCACTTAGCAACATCATACACTACAGCGCATATTGTTGAGTACGCGTCAGTTCATACTGGCCTTTTAAGGCATCCAGCAGTCCACCTTCCATAAGCTGCTTGACCACCTGATCGACCACGGATTGATGTTACTCAAAATCTGTTCGTACGTCGTCGGAGTTGGCGCCTCATACCCATAGGGCTGAGAGCCTGACGGTGGCTGCTGCTGGTGCGACTGCTGTCCGTGAGTTTTCGGGAGGCCGTTGGACCGTACCCTCTCGACTGGTCGGCGCCCGTGTTACGAGGTCGACTGTTACATTCGTTATCCTGCTGGACCTTCCGTTCTCGTGCCGTTTGGGTGAGTGGTGGCCACTTGGTTTCGGGATTGCTCCAGCTAGGTAGTAGGGCGCAAGCGCGTTGCATACAGAGATCGAAGTTTTCGATCTGTTCGTGGTCCCTCAGTAGGGGGAACAATTGGCTCATGTGGTAAATGCAGGGGAACACCTCCCGTTGAGAGTTGTTCCGCCGGCTGGACTGGTCCGAACTGTTGTGTTTGCAGTCCCGGCAACTTGGGTCGTAGTTCTGCTGCGGTGTAAGTTTTCTGTGGAACAAAAATAAGACACGCAGAATGGGATAAATTCCATTTGGAGCATAGGTCCCTATGATAATTACGCCCTATGATTTTACGTCCCTATGAAATTACAACCCGTCCCCCCTTTGACCTTATGCACTCCTATGCCTAGGTCACTATGGTATGGCCTCCGCTTCTGCTTGTTCTTGGTGGAAGCCAAAGTGGGTGTGTCGGCAGGACGAGGGCCATAACGGTCAGGTGGATCACGCAGCTTTCGGTAGCACTGCTGAGCCTCAGGCTCTTCAACGGTTTGCTCGAGCCAACGTTCACGCAACATCTCTTTGACGACGTATCTGACGTCCTCGTTGATGGGAAACAGGCCCATTTTGCGGCCCTGACCGTAGGCATATTCCGTTCCATCGATCAGCTGTGGGTGGTGCGCCAAATGTTTCAACTGGTACCGTCCTTGAAGTTGGTTGGCCAATTCGCCTCGTGTGAGGCCGAGGGGGTGCTGTGTGGTGGTCAGCACGGTAAAAATGGCGTTACGCCAATCCCAGTATCCTTGAGGGGCCGCTGCACGATTTTCCGGTGGGAACGTGTGTAACCCGCAAAATCGTCCGGACGGATGAACCGTTCGCCGGACGCTTTTGCCTGTAAGCAGCCAAAACCGTCCGGCGGTCCAAGAAAACGTCCGCCGGAAATTTTGCCCACCCAGGTTTTTATGCTCTATTCGATCTTCTGCACGCCCCAGAGTGCATATTCGGGGGCGGACGGTTTTGCCGGAGTGTGTATTCGGGACCGGACGGTTTTGCTGTACTGTATATTCGAGGTGGACTTTTTTGCCGGACTGTATATTCGGTCCGGACGGTTTTGCCGGTGCGAATGTTCTGAAGCGGACGGTTTTGCCGGATTGTGCATTTGGGGCGGACGGTTTTGCTGGACTGTATATTCGGTGCGGACAGTTTTGCCGGAGTGGATATTCGGAAACAGCCTTAAGTGGGGACTTTGTTTCTCAAGTCTTTGTTTTTTTTCTTTTTGTAATTTAAATATATTTGTCGAAGTCTCCACTACCGTGATTTTCTAACTGGGTTCGTGTTTTTTGAATGCTTTAAATACTCCGCGTTTTAGATGCTTCCTTTTTACGTTTTCCTTTTTCTTTTTCAAACATTCTGTAATGTTTGTTGCAGAATGAGAACCTTATCAAAGCACGAAACGAATAAAACATGCAGTTGGATTTTTCTACCGCATCAGCCTTTTTCGTTACTTGGCACGACGATAATTTTCGTGTCAGGCAAATTATGGTGACGGGCTGTAGCTCCAATTTCGGTGTAGTCCCCAGGAATGCTGGTCAACAAAATCTCGTACTACCAACGTTTTCTAGCCTCCTAAAATTTATTTAATTTTTCTGGTGGTTTGACAAAGGCGGTTCTGCTGTTAGATGTTACAGGAAGGTTGAAATTGAGTAAATAGCTTAGTTTTGCCTGACAGCCTCTATCCCTATCCCTTTACCATTGTCGTGTGAAGAGACTCGGTACGGATTAATGTACGAGAATTACCACTTCCCAGCCACGACTCAATCGGTAGAGCAAACTCTTAAATCAACTGTTACAGTAAATCGGATGGAAACTGATCAGGAACGCGAACTCACAGGAATCCCTAAGCAATTGTACTGAATACTCCTAACTTCCGGTCGTTACACATGAGGGTCCACGAAGCACGAGCATACCGTGATTACCACGCTATAATCCGTATTTAATTATGAACGTCGATAACACAGAAAATGCTTTACTCCGCTAACACACAATCATATGCACAACTCAAGAAAGTTAAAAGCAAGTTGCCAGTCTTAAGTGATCAAGACTGATGCGTTAAACACAGGAAGCAGGATCTTATATAGACTTCTAGGAGCACGAGATACATCGCTATCAAGTTGAGAACAGACGAATCACAGGTAGCGATAATGAACAACCGCAGTGACGTAGGAGAAAGGCGTACAGTAATTACAGTAATTAGAAGTACGTACGGATGTGTGTAGCTCCCACACGTCACCCCCACAAACGGTTTTTTGCTCCCGCAAACACAAACAAATCCATCCGTTCCATACTGTGATTGTGCGACGCTCCATCCTGATCCATCTCCGCGCAATCCACACGTGTCCATCCGGTGCCCATAATGACTGTACGCCTGATCCGAGTGAAATATGACTTGGTGGGATTTTTGGCGCTTGTTGGCATCCGGAGGTCCACGGTGATTGACATGGCGGGAGATCCAGGATCCAGGAGGCGTCCAAAGTCCAAAGGGAAGAAAGCAAAACGAAAACAAACAGAAAAACGAAAATGCAACGCGCTGTGCAACACGTCCAAGAAGCAAGGTGCAACCGCACAGTACTGCAGTTACACGGAACGCAGCACTTCCGGTAGCGAAAACTGCACGCTTTCAACGCACTCTTTTCCATTTTCTCAAACAGTTTGACTGTGTTATTTTAAGCTTTAAAATAGTGCAGTTTTGAACGCATTTTTCAACAAAATTATTATCAGTACTATTTGGGGCGTCCAAATTAGAAGTTATTCTTTGGTCTGTTTGGAATCTGCTGGGAAGGAAAGACATCTTCGGGATTGCTGTGTAGTGCGTATCGGGAACCCACTGCACAGTACTGCTGATGCTGTCTGTCGTCGTTCTTTTGCTGCGCTATCGGGTATCTCGCAACCGCTATTCGTATGGACTACCAGGAACCTCGTTTTGTGGCCAGCTTATCGTAACAACGTTTTGCTGATATCCTGCCATACTGATTTTCTAACATCCATTCACAGGTAAGGTTTTCAACCTTTCTGCAGTATACTGTACTCTGCAGAGAACACTGGGATATGCTACTGTGTCGCGCTTGCTGTACATCTCGTGGCCAACATCCTTTTACACGACTGTTGGAGACCGCACAACAAACCTTCTGTTTTCGGATTTGATTTGAACAACAAGTAAGCGTTTTACTTCAAAAATTTTCGCCAACAACTTGCTGGGATATGTTCAGGATATTGCAGCGTACATTGCAGGCTACCGCTAACGGGGAGACAGTCAGCAGTGCGGATTGCAATCCGAGGATGGCAACCACCCAAAATGGCAACAACAAATTCTCTCACTTCGCTACTTGCGAAGTTGCACGTTCACGTCACTGCTTGCCAGTGTAGGTAATTCATTACGCAGTTCTGCCGTTACAAAATTATTATTAATATTAAAATCTAAACATTTTTCATCTTAATTGTTACCAACACAACATTTAACATATCTACAAGTTTGTTTGCAGATTTTTACTGGAAACTAACATCACCCAGCCAACACATTGTAATCAGATTTTCCTCTTTTTACAGACTGGCTGCTGACAACTTACGGGCTTTTTGTCTTCCGTTACGACGGCCGCACTACTTCTTCGCACAACACTGACATTTGGTCGACATTCCATACATTTCTTTGCGAACTCTTCAATGTCAACACCCATATTCGGCCAAAAATACCGCAGCATTAGAAACTGAGACAATTCAACGCTGGCACCATACACTTGGTTGTGCACGATTATCTCATGGAAGCGTGTAATCAACTCTTTACGCCACTGACAAGGTACATAAATTTTCAGAGATTTGCCATTGTGGTCTGGTTTTCGACATACCAACCCTTCAGTAAAAATGAAACAATCAATTCTTGCGACAGGGAATTCGGATTCCTTCTTTTACGATATTTAAGATGTCTATACCAGCTTCTACTATCTGCGCACTGTTTCTGTACAGTTCTCCAAAACCGTATATCAGAAAAGTCCTGCGTGGACGCATGTTTGTTCTCATGTGATAGACTTTCCCTAGGCTTCATCCGGGACAAAGAATTTGGACTGCGAACACACCACGGGGATTTCGGACACTCGTGCACGTTGTCGTCATTTCTGTGATCGGCCGGTACGGGTACGACATTGATTTTTTTGTTACCGATTACCATACATTGTGCCGGTGTTTCGACATTTTTGACTGTTTGTTTAGGCGGATGCACTAAGGCTTTACCCCCACAAATTTGACTGGAGCATACGGATGTACAACTGATATAAGAAGTACTGGGCTTTACATCACAAGTGGGTGAGTTTGTTTTACCGCACCCCCACAAACTTGACTGCTCATTATTCTGTTTCTGTGGGTGGTTATTACCCCCACAAACTTGACTGGGTACTGGGGTTATTTTCACTGATGTTGCCATGTCGTTCCTTTCTGTCAACATTAGTGCTGGGATTGCAGGCGACGGTTTAACATCAGGCGGAATCACCGGATCAAAATGATGCGCCCTAATGATATCGGTCATTGAGTGCATCTTTCGCGGAAACCATACCGGTGAATTCGGACGCTGACGGAATAACCTCCACGTCATAGTGTTCATGTCCAGGATAAATGGTTTCGTTGCCAAAAAGTCCAAACCCAGAACGATGTGGTCCCGCTCGAACGTGGAGCTAACAAGTATCGCGTGCTCAAACGACATACCAAACTCGTGGATAGTAATTACCGCACACATTGGTTCGATTAGTTGCCGCCCTTGATATGCCGTATGGACTACTCTTCCTTGGATGTGGTCCGGACACTGGTGAATGCTCAATTTTAATTCTTTTGCCATTTGGTGGGACATCACCGAGATGCTAGAACCGGTATCAATCATCGCTTTGACTTTCTGGTAATTTACATCGATTACCGAATAGCAGGCTTGCGCATCCAGTGTTGGTTTCAGAGACACAGCGTCTGTTATCGGATATTGACTGGGATCCACCACTTCCAAGGTGTTACACCTGATCGCCGCTCCATTAACCGGCGAGGTATTTATCGGTTCAATTTCCATAATATTCATTTGTGGCGTATTGCATCTGTTTAAGATTTCCGGTGTAGGACGGTACAGCCTTGGAGTTACCAACGGGTTCCTGCACGAGGCCGCTGGATGCATTCCATGACAACGGTAGCAGATCTCATTGCCTTTAATTGTTCTCCATGCTTCTTTGCAGATATTCCGCTCATCAAACGGCTGTTGTTCATTTTGCCGGAAGTTCTGATTATTATTGGGCTGCTATTGACGGTAATTATTATTATTTCCGCCTCGCTGATAATTATTCGCGTGATAACTGGTTCCGTAATTATTGGGTCTGAACTGGCCTTGATTCATCGCAGCATTATTATTTGCAGGGGAATTTAAGGAAAAGTTAACATTCGGATTCTGCATCTGCGGCACAGGCACATTGACATCTACCGGAAGCGGCGGCGCCTGTCCGTGCTGCATTTGCCACTGCGAAGGTTGACTATTCTGCGGCACCATTGGCTGATACTGCGTGCCTTGATTATTCTGGTAAGGATACTGCGGCGCGTAATCAGAATTCTTATTTGACTGACGCTGCTGGTAATTACCGTAATTAATATTATTATTATTATTACGAAATCCTGAACTTCCATTTCTGTGCGCACCGTTAGGCACAACATTTCTATTTTCAGAACTTAATGAGACTTCCATGGTCTCTAATTTCTGTAACAGCTCAACCATTTCGTCCATAGTCTTCACATTTTGCGGATACAACTGTTTAAACCAATTTTCCTTATTTTGTTTTAGGCCATCCAGAAGGATGCCCACGCGCTCTTCTTCAGACATCTGCAGTACCTCAAACCAGTGCAGAAAACTGTGTACGATGCAACTGTGTCATCTCTACGGAAAATACGGGCGTTCATTTCGCGACGTAATTCAGCAGGCGTCACTGCTGAATTAAAATGTTTCAACAATTTGGGGCGGAAGAAGGTAATCCATTGCTCGTTTGGATTATCTTCAAACAATTTTTTAAACCAAATCGCAGCATTATTTCTGAGAGCAGCAGCTACCTCTCTGCACGTCCTCTCGTCATCCCAGTCATTCGACAAAATGCACATATCGACATTGTTTAGCCACTGGTCGATTGGGCCAGATTTTTTTGTATTTTCGTAGCGCTGCAGATTCATAAGCTTTTCAGTTCTTCTCGAGGAGTTTTTATTCTGGGCAATTAACAATTCCAGCATTTTATTCTGTTTTTCATCTTGTGCCTTATACTGTTCCATTGCGATTTTCGTGTTCTTTTCCACTAACAGCTGAACTGTTGATTCCAGGGAAGCACGGGAACACACGGACAAAGCGGGACTTCCACCACGAGGTGAGACTGCACCATGATCAACCGCAGCTGGATGAACATTACCATTATTGTCAACATGTTCAGGGACATTCTGCTGTGAATGCATGTTATCACGTGCACTGTGCCGGCTTTCAACACGTGATTCGTTTTGTGCAACGAAAATCGGACGCATGGGTGCCTGTAGTTGCGACTGCATATGGACCGGACCAAGCGGGACACCTGAATTATTATTTATTACTACCGATCCCTGTGGCGGACGCACTTGAGGTTACGGCTGGGATAAATTCAGCTCAGAAGGACCAAGGTTTTGTCCGTCATGTTGCGACATACGCGGGGATACTCGGACTTAGCCCGTGGCAACAGGTACTTCTGCTTGATGAACTGCTTGACCACCGCCATAGCGCACATTCTGATTTCTGTAATGCATTAATTCCTGTTGGAAGCAAGCAAATTCCGCTTGCATATTTTTAACCGTTTGTTCACCCTCACGAAGAGCCGTTTTTAGCTGAATATTTTCTTTCTGTAACTGGGTGACTTCTTCCTGTTTTTCAAAAGCAGCAGCTTGCGCTTTTTCCTTAGCCGTAATCGCCGTGTGGCACACCGTGCAGTTCTTATTTTTAACAGCAGACAAGTCCTTCTGCGCCTTTTCTTTCGCTTGTTTTTCATTCGCGAAATCAATTTTTAATTGCGCTATTTGTGCCTGTAATGCTTCTTCATTATCTTTAGAGGTTGTTTGCAACACTGTGCGCGCCGAATGATGCATGAAATCGTTTTGAGAGCGACAAATCGCTAACTCTTCTTCCAATTTGGACACCCTTTCTGATTCTGGTACAAATTTCTGCTCTAATTCCTGCAGCTCATCCCAAAATTTCTTACGCTGCTGCGCCACATCATTAAAACTTCTCGTTGTTTTAGCGTGATTATATTTTTCAGTTTTCGGTTCGTCCTGGACCTGATCGAGCTGAGCTTTCAAGGACGATACTTCATTTTTTAGAGTGGCACTAGACTGAACATCCTGAGACTGTGCCAGCTCGGAGCTGCGAAACTCATCCAACTCTCCTCTGGTATCTTCCAGGTGAGTTTCCAATCTGCGATTCACATAAGTTAATAAATCTCTCTCCTTGTATACTTCATCCAGTTCAGCTTTCAATTCTTTTATATCCCGGTAATTTAACAGATTTTTCTCGCTTGACCGGACTTTCTCATTCAGACGAAATATTTCTTCGCCCGCTTTATTCAACTTAACTCGCGTCTCATTATACTTTGCGCGAAAAATATTTTTATCCTTCTTTTCTTGATCTAGGTCAGTGTTCAACTGCTGGATCTGACCCATGGACTGGACACTGCTGTTAAAAGAGCCAATGAGTTTGCGAATGCTCTTAAACATCGTGCCGCTTGACTGCCGTGCAACTTGCGCAACATCATTATCCGTTTCTGTCGCTTCAAGTGCTTTATCGACTTGCACCACCTTCTCCATGAATGCGTTATCGGGAGGAGCAAAATCTGTTTCCGCCAAAATTTTTCTCAAATATTGCTGTGAAGGATGGACAACCATCACTTCTGAGTCTTCAGCAGTATTGCCAACTACGGCCTGATTTAACTGACTGTGTTCCGGTGAACCGGCCGCTGACAGGAAATTTTCTTCACCGGATATCGGCGATTGTACTGCTGATTCTCTTTTCGTAATCTTTGAAAAATCCATAAGCTTTGCGCCATCTGACACCACTTCCCGCTGATCATCCAAAAGGTTGAGCTGATCAACTGGAGTGTTAGTTTCCTGTGCCTTATTTTGAGTCGCCTCTGTCAGTGCATTTCCACTAGACAAATCCTGCGTACTTCGCGTTTGACGAGTCGATTCCATTGGCTGCGGCTGCCCGCTTGCAGATACTGCTGCTTTTCGCTCTTCCGTTCTCTTTTTATACTCGGGAAATTGTTCATATGCCCGTTTGACCGCTTCCTGAAACTCTTCGTCTGAAATTTCCAGGTACGCTTCCGGTATACACTGTTCAGATTCTACCCAACCACGGTACTAGAACGGTGCTCTCGGTTTCGGGTTCGAAAACTGTCCGATTTCCTGGTATTCAATCCAGGTTTTTCCACAAAATGCTTTCGGCTGGCTAGGAGGTTCAACTCCTAGTACTTCGTACATCAGTCCCAAAGGAATTACTTCCGCATTAAATTTGAATTTTTGCTGTTGTGATATTGCCTCACACGGGCCTAATATCACTCGCTTAGGGTCAATTGTGACCAACTGCATCGTATTTGCGTTCAATTTATCAGACATTTTTGTCCGATTTTCTTTAATCGACCTTTAAGGTTTCGATAAAAGAAATACAGTAACAATAAAGCTACTGCTATACCACGGCTATTGTGCCCAAACACAGCAGCTATTGTGCTACTGTTCACAAAAGCAACGTCTCTCCTTTAAGGTTTGAGACGTTGACTACTACCGCAATTTGCTGCAGTATCCTTATAATTAATTACTGTGGACAACCTTTGCGGTTATTCCACAATTGAATTTTAATTTCCTCTTGTCTCAGGTCAGTCACCGACTGCCTGGATTGTTTACGTTTTACCCGCCAGCTGTCACTGACTGCCGATCAGGGTACCGGTTTGGTTTGCCTTTTATTCTCCGCTGCTGAAGATTTTATCTAGGCTTGCCACTGACAATGGCTTTACCCCTGATTTTATCTACAGCCACTGATCTGACTGCTGGCCAGGCACGCTGACTCTGCAGTTTACGCTTTATTTTACCGCGGTCACTGCTTTGCGCAGACAAACCCGGAAATTACCCACAGTTTACGCGGTTTATTCGCCAACACAGTCGACCTTTAAGGTTTCGACTGTGAATTTACTGCTGACTTCGGTCCGATTTTAATTATAATTTATATGGCGAGTAAGCTCAGCCAATTATTGGGCGAGGAAGCTCAGCCCGGGGAGGAAGCTCACCCAATAAAAACCCTAGGTCAGATCAGGAACGCTGACCTCCTTCGGCGTACCATACGGTTCAACGCCTTTCTACGGACCGTTCACACACATTCACACGTAAAATACCATCCACAATTTTACTGTAACATCGGGAAAATCACGAACCATCGTTGGGCGCCATGTCGTGTGAAGAGACTCGGTACGGATTAATGTACGAGAATTACCACTTCCCAGCCACGACTCAATCGGTAGAGCAAACTCTTAAATCAACTGTTACAGTAAATCGGATGGAAACTGATCAGGAACGCGAACTCACAGGAATCCCTAAGCAATTGTACTGAATACTCCTAACTTCCGGTCGTTACACATGAGGGTCCACGAAGCACGAGCATACCGTAATTACCACGCTATAATCCGTATTTAATTATGAACGTCGATAACACAGAAAATGCTTTACTCCGCTAACACACAATCATATGCACAACACAAGAAAGTTAAAAGCAAGTTGCCAGTCTTACGTGATCAAGACTGATGCGTTAAACGCAGGAAGCAGGATCTTATATAGACTTCTAGGAGCACGAGATACATCGCTATCAAGATGAGAACAGACGAATCACAGGTAGCGATAATGAACAACCGCAGTGACATAGGAGAAAGGCGTACAGTAATTACAGTAATTAGAAGTACTGTAGCTCCCACACGTCACCATCTCAGCTATCATACAGCTCCTGAAGATTTAAGTTGAAATTGTGCTAAAACCTATGTGGCAACGTGTGCCATTACAGAAGTGTTCGTCAGAAACTTTGTTATGAAAATCTTTCGATCTTTCATTTTTTGTAGCTGCTTTTTATGAGTGTGCAAATGTTCTGCGAAATGTCAAGCCGAAACATAGTCTGCAGGTCTCTGCCGTTTTGATGTTTTGAGTTGAAGGGAGCACCATGGCTGATCCCAAAGGTGGCAAAACCAACGTGAGCTCGCGCTGTGATTTGCGAGCTCTTTACGTTTTCTTAACCACAAACAAATACCCCGAAGGGCTCACTGATAGCCAAAAACGATCCATCCGTCGACGCCGACCTAATTTTGCTGTCATTGGAGACCAGCTGTTTTTTACCGCTGCTAAATCTAAAGGGCTCGGTGGCAGTGCGCTTCCAGCTGTGTTGTTTGATGAAGCTGAGATTTTACGAGTAACGAACGAATATTACCGGTAAGTTTTTAATTTTCTTGACATCGTTATCTGCTCTGAGAAACTTTGGATGTGTTTCTTGTCGTAAGAAAACAGTTACGCCGTTCTTGTGCATTTTCCGTAAGATTATCAGGTCCACTGTCATGCACTTTTATTTTACCGGTTACGACAACGATATGGCGGAAAGTAAGCGTCGCCGTAATTACATCTTTTCGTTTTTGTAAATAAAAAAGGACAAGCAAAATGAAGCGCTACTTACCGGTAACGAAGACCATACTGCAAAACGAAGACTGCCTTTTGAGAGCTTCGTGCAAATCTGACTCTGTAATAGATTGATTTTATCCCTACTTAGTAGGTTTACACTCTCTACAAAATACTTACTGTAAAGACCGTAAAGTTGACTGCTATTAAGGCAGCGTCTCCTTTTTGCTGCAGAAACCTGAGGCATGCCAGAAAAGACGCTTTGCTCGATACAATTGGGCGAAAATATTTCTGGGATGGAATGCGTCTTACCGTTGAATCCGTGGTACTGTTCAGAGTTTTTTTAAAATACAGCCATTTAAATTATTATTTTTGAATACAAGAAGATGTGATTTACAAACAATCTTTTGCTCGCTTTAGATAAATGAGTGTGAGGTTTGCAAGTCCCAAGGAAAAGGGCTCGATGCCATTAAGGAACCGTTAACAGCAGTAGCCGTCCCACCCCGGCCATGGTCTCTGTTGGGTTATGACTTGATTATGTTGGAGGAAACATCAAAAGGCCATAAGTACCTGCTGACCATTATCGACTATTTTTCGAAATTTCGCATCGCATACTCTATCAAGAACAAAGAGGCCCTGACAATTGTGAAAAGCTCCATCACACTTTCTCTCTTATTGGAATTCCTGAGTCGATTATATCTGACAATTGTAATGGTAACTCATCCATTGCTTAGACCTTGTGCGGAGCTGACCTTTAACTGTTGTTTATGTGGAGAATAATAGTCTTCCAAAATTAGTTTTGGTATGCACAAGTTGAAGTTAAACCATGAAGTTACATTTGCAGGCACAGAATTCAAGAACGTTAGAAACGAAGAAATGGAGCGGTTGTTGGGCGTCGAGCATCGTTTTGCCCAACCGCGGCATCCCCGCACGTGCGGGAAAGTGGAAAACCTTAATAGGCAAATTAAATGGTAAGGATTATGGCCATAGACTTCATAATACTGCACACAAGCTGCGCCACAAGTCTGTCCACATGGACATATGCGCCATGGCAGCATATGTCTACACCCATGTAAGTGTCCGTCCGTCGGTCGCTGCGATGACCCTTCATACAAGGGCACGGAAGGCCGTACATGTTCAAGGTCTGCAACGATCGTGGTGTTCTGTACCAGTACGGTCTGTCCGGCAGGGTGTTTTCACCGATTTTAAAGATAATGGTTATCTTTTTACTTTTCCGCCTTTATGTCAAAACGATAGCCGGGGCACAGTCCCCGCAAATAAGAAGGCTTTATCAAAAAATAGAATAATTACGATAAACAGCAAAATTATATTTTGTTAGAATAAACACTTGCAAAAAAAACCGGTAGTACAAATATTTTTCCTATAGTGTCAGGCGTTAAGCAACTCATTGCCTGAGCGTGGAAACGTGTCTGCGGCATGGAGAATCTTACTGCCAAATTGAATTTAATAATAAGCCTGGTCCAGTTTGAAAAATAAATCATCGCATACTTCCTGCTACGCTTCGGTCATGCAGATATCGTCAAAGAGAGCGAATGCACATTCGCAGTTATATTCTTGCACGTATCGTAGAAGTTAACATTAAGTAGAAGTTGCCACCCATTTTGCATTTTACGGAATTTAAGTTCATAGTCTACGGTCCGGCGAGTGCACGTAGAGTACGAGGCGGCTATACCTAATTTTAATTTCATGGTAAATATAATCGTCTCTTGCTATAGGGACTTGAATCGACAGGTGACTGAAAAAGGTGGTGAATGGTGCGACCATGTCGGTGCTGTGATCTGGGGCCAAAACAATAAGGCTCACAGTGTGATAAAGGAAATCCCCTTTGAAGTGATGTTCCGTAGAAAAGATACGATTCGCAAGTTTCCCACGCTTACAGCCACCGAGTTTGGAGTAGAAGCGGAGCAACGATTATCTCGCACGCCGGAGTCGGATGCGACCAGCCAGATTTTAATCCAGACAAAAGAATCTGAAGCCATCGGGTCTGGTGACGAAAGTTCTGGCAGTTGCAAACGACTGAATGAAGGCGATGAAGATGTACAATGGTTTAGCAAAATTTCGCAAAACATAGCCGCAGGAAAGCGGAAGCAAGACGCAGCTTATCAGAAGCTGCAAAAGAATAAACGAAGTATTTTCCCTGGCATGCTCGTACGCCACAAGAATATCAAGAAATTTCGTGGAAAGCTGGAAGGCAAAAGTGTTACCAAGCCAAAGTTTATTGGACCCTTCAAAGTGGTCAAGTTGTTAAACAGGGGTCATAAGGCGGTTATCGAGTCGTTACTGGACAAGTCAACGGAAACAGTAAATGTTAAAGACTTAAGAGCTGAAAATCTACCACTAAGATGGAATTTCAGCAAAAAGCAGGAAATGCGGCCGAAAAAGGTATCGAAATTGTGCAGCTGGTTTCCCCTCAGCTTTATTCATACTTTTTCTGCACAGGTTACCACTTTCGTATGGTTCATCCAAATAATTATGTTTTTCACATGTGGTTCTTTTCAAGTTGAGATGCCGTCGAGTGCAACGCCAGAAGCGCAGCAATGCAATGAAGTGACGGAATCTCCACCAGCAAAGGCCCCGAATATGCAGTCCGGGAAAACCGTCCGGCCCCGAATATACAGTCCGGCAAAACCGTCCGTCTCGAATATACAGTCCAGTATTACCGTCCGGCCCCGAATATACAATCCGGCAAAACCGTCCGGCCCTGAATATACAGTCCGGCAAACCGTCCGCCTCTAATATACAGTCCGGCAAAACCGTCCGTCTCAAATATACAGTCCAGCATTACCGTCCGGCCCCGAATATACAACCCGGCAAAACCGTCCGGCCCTGAAGATACAGTCCGGCAAACCGTCCGGCTCTGAATATTCAGTCCGGCAAGCCGTCCGCCTCGAATATACAGTCCGGCAAAACCGTCCGTCTCGACTATACAGTCCAGCATTACCGTCCGGCCCCGAATATACAATCCGGCAAAACCGTCTGGCCCTGAATATACAGTCCGGCAAACCGTCCGCCTCGAATATACAGTCCGGCAAAACCGTCCGTCTCGAATATACAGTCCAGCATTACCGTCCGGCCCCGAATATACAATCCGGCAAAACCGTCTGGCCCTGAATATACAGTCCGGCAAACCGTCCGGCTCGGAATATACAGTCCGGCAAACCGTCCGTCTCGAATATACAGTCCAGCATTACCGTCCGGCCCCGAATATACAATCCGGCAAAACCGTCCGGCCCTGAATATACAGTCCGGCAAAACCGTCCGCCTCGAATATGCACTCCGGCAAAACCGTCCGTCTCGAATATACAGTCCAGCATTACCGTCCGGCCCCGAATATACAGTCCGGCAAAACCGTCCGGCCCCGAATATGCAGTCCGGCAAAACCGTCCGGCCCCGAATATACAGTCCGGCAAAACCGTCCGCCTCGAATATACAGTCCGGCAAAACCGTCCGGCCCCGAATATGCAGTCCGGCAAAACCGTCCGCCCCCGAATATGCACTCTGGGGTGTGCAGAAGATCGAATAGAGCATAAAAACCGGGGTGGGCAAAATTTCCGGCGGACGTTTTCTTGGACCGTCGGACGGTTTTACCGGCTTACAGGCAAAAGCGTCCGGCGGACGGTTCATCGGTCCGGACGATTTTGCCGGTTAAATACGTGTAAATGGTTTCCACGTTGGGCGTATGGGTCCTTAGGACGAAACCCCCGTTGTAGGCAATTTGGATGTAAAGCATGACTCTGGACTTGGACAACCTTGGGCCCTGCCATTTCACGATGAGCTGAAAAGCCAAAGCTCCTGTAGCGTGAGTTGTGCCCGTTTGGGACAACGCCTGTAGGTCGGCCTTAACGAATGCCCATCCTTTGTCCGTGTTGGAGATTTTCATCCGTTGGCAAGGAGCTCCGCTCGGATATTGCCTGGCCACTGTTGAACTTGGTGGCTCGATGTAATCGATGCGCGCTTTCTCCGGGATTGGATCTGGCAGGGCATGAGGCATTTCTCCGTAGTCCGATCAGGAGAGAACGTGTCCATTACGTTGGCCTCTCCACTCTCACTCTCAGAGAGAATGTCCAAGTTAGGACACTAGTGGTTCACTGGTTCTGAACCTATAAAACCACCACAGAACCAAGTACACACTCACTTGCCGGCACGCTGTCACACTACCACTCTACCCCGTGAATCAGGTGAACCTATAGAACCACATAGAACCACCATTGAACCACCACAAAACCAAGTGCACACGCACTTGCCCGGCACGCCGTAACGCTCCCTCTCTACCCTTTTTACCACTTGAGCCTTGTTGAATAAAAATAAAAAGGAATTTCAGGAACTTCTATTTTGGGACAAAGTTTAATCCGCCCGGTGGGGCATCGGGAATTGGATTACATTTTGAAAATTGTTGAAAGCGTTTTTTTCAGTTTTTTAATTTTTGTCGTATTAGTGGTGTCAGCACTGTCAGGATATTGCTATATTCCTCTCAAATTGACACATACTTCACTGAGTATGAAACAATCTGTTTTACTACGTATAATAGATTTTTTGTCATCCGGTAAAAAATCATTTAAGGTGAGTACTTGGAAACGTTCGAGGAAATCTAAGCGCGAAGATCTATCGTAAATCGCGCTTCTTAGTTAACTGTACAGCTTACCCTTTCGAAACCCTGGGGCTTTGCCTGCGCTACGCACAGTAAAATGCGCAAAACAACTGTTAAATCCTAACACAGCAGTAAAATTTGTGAACGAACTTGTATTATTGCGCGAGTTTAAATGTCTAATGAAGTGGCACAATCAATAGGATATACTTAAAAAATCCTTAAAAAAATAAAAAACTTAAACAGAGCAATTTGCATAATATTGTAAATCTGCTTATGTCAAAACTACCGGACACTGCCTGCACGAAATATTGCACTGAGAAACGGAAGCGCTGCTTCTTTTGTTTTCGCGGATGACATAGTTGTTTTTCGTCCTATTTCCCACGCCTCGGATTGTTTGTTGTTACAGAACGATCTATCCGTTTTGAATGATTGCCTCACAGATAAACAGCTTTGTCTTAACGCTGCCAAGTCCGCCCACGTTCAGTTCTCGAAACAGAAGGCTCCATCCTTCTCCTATCAGTACAGTATCAATAATATTCCCGTCCCAAAGTGCGACCATGTGAAACACCTAGGAATTTTTGTTGATCAAAAACTGAATTTCAACATTAACAGCAAAAATGTCTCAAAGAAATGCAACCGGAAAGTTAGCTACATTAATCACGTTTTCGATACAGTGACTACGGTGCTCGAATACGACTTTTCGAGCCTTTAGTCCTTTCAGTTATTGTTTATTGCTTTTTCACCACGCATCCATTGCTAAAGAAGTCGGCAAAAATCATTGAACGTTGTCAGAGAAGGTTCACTAAAACCTTGCGCCTCGGCAATAACGTGTTGAATTACGCAGGGCGTTTGAAAGAGCTCAAATGGGATGACCTAGCCAAACGACGCTTGAAAAAAACACTAATGTTCATGTACAAATTGGTTTTTCGGGTGGTTCCAATGGGTGACCTGATTGTATTGCCGCTAAAGTTTTCTGCTGCGGTGCTGGAGTCTGTTGCAGGGTACACCAGGATATCAGAACGTCTGATGAAGCATCCATGTCCAATCAAACCGGCTCCGACAACAATTTGTGGTAGAACGGTGACCACCGCCCATGAATCGTATCTGAACCGCGTTGTGTCCGTCTGGAACGATCTTCCCTTACAACCCATTGCCTACGTTACTTTGAACGCGTTCACTGAAGTTCTGAAGACAGTGAGCTTGAAGGATCTACCCTCAGTTAAAGCTTTCAAAAAAAGTGTAGTGTAATTACCGTTCTTATTTCAATGTTCTCTTTAAAGCTTTTTGTCTTGTTATACGTGGGTTATACCTATCATAGTAATTTTGGTTGCGAGTTAGGTGCAGAAGTTACCAAAAAGGCGATTACGTGCGTAAGTGTCGGTGCTTTCCTTTTTCCCACAGTTTTATTACGGAAATGTTTTTGAAAATGGTAATTTTACTAATATGGGTGGGTTTTGGTTTTATGCATCGACCCCAGCGCGATCGCCTCCCCGCCCTTTTTCCACAATAATAGCAACTTATCGCAACCGTACCGACAACATGCAGTTTTAAGTGCTTTTCATGTGCTGATGTTTGCTTTTGCATGTGTTGATGTTTTTCTGGTTTATGCTTGTTTCCGCTGGCTTTCAAGTTTTCGTGGTATTGCATTTCGATGTTATTTTAACATTTTGGTTTGTTCTCCGCTGTCCGAAGCTTAGAGGGGGCAGTCGCTTCGTTGCAAGGACAATAAACTGCATTACATTACATTACATTACATTACATTACATTACATTACATTACATTACATTACATTACATTACATTACATTACATTACATTACATTACATTACATTACATTACATTACATTACATTACATAAAAGCGGGGTAATAAAACAGTACTACCTCTTCTTTCATTATGTACTCGTATTATCGCCACTGCAAATACCAGCTATGTACACCACCATTCCCGCATGCGCACTGCACCAAAGGTTTTTCAGTTTATTTACTCTGAACGCTGCAAATACGAAGAGCGCAGACGCGTACTTAGGAACATGCAGACTAACACGACAAGACCACAAAAAAATTCGAAGTGGCTATTTTGCCGCAGTGTTTGCTGCTAAATAGCCAGTTGGCTATTTAGCCGCACTAGGGTGGGCAAAATAGCTTGTTGGCTATTTTACCGCACGCTGCGTTAAAACAGCTTCTCAGCTATTTTGCCGCACTATGGTCGGCAAAATAGTCAGTTGGCTATTTTGACACACCATTATTGTAGCCTGTCTCGCCGCGCACTTTCAATGCGCTCTGTACGGTAAAGTGTCGGAAGTTCTGTAAAACAGCGTTACTTGCTTAAAACAGCGTCTAGAGGTCCAGAGGTTGTCCCGGGGGTTTCCAGTTCTTCGCCGGTAAAGCCGGATTATCCTCCGGAGATGTCGGTTTCCGGACCGGTGAAGTTGGGTTAGTCACCGTTGACATGCGCTGTAAAGTCGTCCTCTGGGGCCGTGCAGTCGTTCTTTTGGTTGACATTCGGCTTAAGTGGGTACCATGCCACCCTGTTGGGGTGAAGCCAAGTCGCCCCAGTTTCTCGAAGCCGCGGCACTATTTGGCGCCTGGTGCACCATTCCGTCCCTAAAGAAATCCGTTTATTGTGGCACCAATTGGGCGCTCAAGACCGGATTGAGGTTTCACTGGGCTCACCGCATTCTCGCCTAAAAAACAAGCTGACCCCGGACTCAGCTTTAATTGGCTGACAAGAAGCTCTGTTCTGAGCGTCCTTATAGCGGTCAAATGGGTTAATCGGGTAGGTTAATTCCTGGTCCTCAGGTTTGTCCTTCGGGTCTGAACCGGTTTGCTATTCCACTCTTGGCCTTACCGTAGCTCAAAAAAACGTCCCCATACCGGACTTTTCTGTGACTCCGTTCTTTAACATGGGAAGCCACGGGTTGTCGGAAAATACTCTTCGGCTTTTTCTTTACTGGTGCCGATGCCTCGGGCATCGGGATGGACTTTGTCAACTTTGACAAAAACTAATACGTTCTGCGCTGGTATTACCTCAACGGCGCTATGCCCGGCACCGGTTCGATCTTGACAGGTTTGATGGTTTTCACCCGTTTAGCTTTAAACGTATATAAACACTGCTGGCTGCTTCTGGCACCGGGACAGAGGTTACCATCGGATTGGGAGGATTTAAAGTCCGGTCGGCAGATTGCTCCGTCGGGACTTTGCATGATGGCCTACGTTTCTGCGCAACAAATCGGTTATGCTGGAGACCGACGGGGCGGCTTGGGTTATGGCGTGCTCAGTGGAATGGGTAGTTGCTCCGGTGTCATTCTGCTCGGGCGTAAGCCTTTTTGCATTCAGCGACTGTCATTGCCGCTGGCGGGTTCCTTTCCCTGGGTCCGTAGGAGGCAACCATGTCCGCGGTTTATGCAGACGTTTCATCCAAAGCTTTACCGAGATACTCTTTCGCGGTTTTGACCAGCATTCCATACGCTGTACTGTACAGCGTACATGTGTACAGCCTGTACACATGGT